GTGTGTGTGTGTGTGTGTGTGTGTGTGTGTGTGTGTGTGTGTGTGTGTGTTTAAATTATTTATTCAGAATTAATCATTCTTATTTTACAATTATTTAAATGATCAATTACTATACTTTTATTTTTGTTTTTTGGATTATTCAAAATGATAACAAAAATAAATTTATATTTTACAATTATTAATAAAAATAAAATATAATAATAAAAACAAAAAAATTATAATAAAATTACAAATAATTAAAAAACTTTAATAAGTCAATAAAAAATAATATAAACAATAATTAATCATTTCTGATTAGTGATTAGTGTGTTGTACTGATCAGTGTGTTGATTTATTAACAATACAGAATATAAATGTACATTTTACAAACAAAATTAATAATTATGTTTATTTTATTGAAATGATTAATTATTGTTTATATTATTTTTTAATGACTAATTAAAAAATTATATCAAATTCATTATATATTATTATATTAAAAAAATAATATAAAAATAGTTAATCATTTCAATAAAATAAACATAATTATTAATTTTGTTTGTAAAATGTATATTTATATTCTGTATTGTTAATAAATCAACACACTAATCAGTACAATAGTTAGTAGCCTGCACTTAAATGACTGGAAATGAATCTTGCACATTTCCTTTAAAAAAAGAAAATAATGTCAGTTTTGTAAAGTTATGATCTGTAATTTCCTTTCCCAGTAAGTGCAAAATGCCAAAGTGACAACAGACACAGGAAATTTGCATCAACAGTGCAGCAATGTGTTCACACAACAACCCAGAAAACTACGATTAGAATCTTAATGGATGTCCTGTTATGGTCCACAGATCAGCACCTTTGCCCTCTCGCCGGGCACGTTCACAAGAATGTGTCTGTTTCTACCAGTTATATTATCAGCCTCCATCTGTCGGTGGCCGTACGTCGCCTGTCAAGCTCTTGAAAAAGACTTTCACGTCTTTCTGCAATGCCATGTTTCTATCTTAAGCAACAAGAGGAAGTGAATTATATCAAGAGTCTCTGTTTTATGCGGCAGCTGCACCTGTGATTTCTTGAAACAGAAAGTGCTCGTGTTATAATGTGAAACTGTAACCTCCGTGACAGCAAGGACGCTCAACCCTCAATCTGAAATCAGACTCGTCCTCTGGCATAGTGATGTGTAGAAAACATCAGCCTGGCAAATTCATAAGGACAGCTTTTTCTCACAAACAAACTATTAAGTCTTATCTGTGAGGAGCCTGCAGATCAAAAGCGTCACATGCACCGCCTCTCGGTTCCCATTCCCTCTCTACAAATGACTCCACCAGAGGCCTAGGGCCACACTTATGCACAGATAAGACAAGCAAATGTTTAGCGAGCAACAGTTTTCAACACATTTTATCGGAAAGGCACATCTCACGCTTGCCCTGGAGTCTTTAGGAGTCCTGCAGGGTTTGGAGGAAGCTAGACAGAAACAGAGAGGAAGACGAAGAGAGGCGTATGTTTAACACATGATGTGTCTGTAGATACTTTCAGTGCTGTTTTGTGCATTACAGCCGCTTCGGACCCGGTGGGTTTTATTGGAGAGAAGCCCTGCTCAACCAAACATGGCTTTGGAGGAAAACTGCTATTCCATCCACTACTGCACTGCTGGATCTCTGCGGGAGACTCACAAATGTCTTTTCCTACTTCTCCTGAAGGGCATACTGAGACTAAGAAGGCGCATAGTGATACTGAATGTATAGCATTTCATTCATAATAAATAGCATGTGTGAAACAGATAGCGAGATGGCTTTGGAGATACTGATTCTGGTTTAAAGGGGACATGCCATAGAAAATTTATGGATTTATTTCTTGCTGTTTTGAGATATGAGAGTGTCATACTACGTAGATTACTTTTGGGAATTGAGAACTGGTTCTTATTTTGCATTATTATATTGCATGAGTATCAGCTTTCAAGTGCATGTCATATTGTTTTTTGCTAAACTAATCCTGCCTAATTAAACTCCAAATATTAACAAAGATAACAAAGCAATAACTCAAAGACAGACATTGCTAGATGCAATATGAACACATTTCATCTTTTGTATATGCTTTTGAATATAATATGATATACATATGATTGTTTTTCATTTATTGCATCAAGCAAGAATAACATTTTATACATAAAGTAAATATGAACAAAATTTGCTATAAAATAAAATACATTTCTAAAAAAATTTAGATAAAATGTAATACAATTAATTTTAAAAAATAATATTAAATAAATCAAATAAAAATAATCTATCTATCTATCTATCTATGACTGAATCATTAATATTGAATCATGCGCACAGATCCATTCACACCATTTATGGACACTAAGCTAAAAAAAACAACGACAAAAAACAGGTTGGTCAGAAATTTTGAGCGTATTATCACAGCATAGCCATTGTA